GTGTGTGTGTGTCTGCATGTGTGTATTTCTGTTTGTGTGCTCATACACATGTTTTAGTGGTTGCATAATCTAAAAAAAACCACACTCACAGAAGATGGTAGGCTTTGATGATTAGAGACAGAAAGATCAAAAACAGATATAAATCACCGCTTCCCGGCCTTTTGGCTAAGATCAAAGTGTAGTATCTTTTCCCGACTTTCCGGCCTGGTACTGATTCCAAACGGATATAACATGAAGCTAAAGCCTTGGCTTCTATTATGTATAGCGTAAGGCAACGTACTCGTAAAAAAACAACAACCCCAGAAAACAAATAAAAACAAAAATATGCAAAAAAACAACAACAAATAACAACCAACCTCCAAACATAAATGATCCCATTCCAGTGCCCAGCATGCAGTTCAAAGAGGAGGCCTACAAGGTGTCGGAAGCAGATGGCGAGGTCAGCGCGGTCATTCTGAGATCCGGTGACGTCAGCCATACGTCATCAGTCCGCTGCTACACGCGTCAGGCAACGGCTCTGGTCGCCTTGGATTACGAGGAGAGACCGGATACCGATGCCTCGTTGGTCGTGTTTCAGCCAGGTGAGAAATTGTGCTTGTAGATTCGCCACCTTAAAATTACAAAGTTCTATCTGCTCAGAGCCTAGTTTTGATACATTGAACGTAAAAGATTTTGAGTTTCACAACATGTCAATTAAAAAAAAAATGCAATTATTTGAATATCTCGATAATGACTCCGAATAGTCTTACGATTTTGACACAGCAGATAAACTATTTGGTTTCTGACCTCATCTTGTCTTGTATTTTATCTGATCTCTTATCTGATCTATCTGATATCTTATCTTGTCTTATCTTATCTTAGCTTGTCTTATTTTATCTTATCTTGTATTATCTTATCTTATTTATCTTATCTCATCGTCGCTGTACTTACACAGGTGACTACGCCAAGGAGTGCAAGGTGAAGATCATTGACGACAACAAGTTCGAAGACGCCGAGCAGTTCCGCCTGGTTCTGGGCACAGCGAGCAGTGAGGAGCTTGGAGCTGCAAACATTGGGGAAGCGGACAGCACTCTGATCACCATTGAGGACGAGGGAGATCGTGAGTTATTGTTCCTTGATGAAGGAGTGCTGTGTATGAGAGTAGATCTAGATCTATATCTATGTGTGTGT